CTTCCGCCCTTGCTGCAGATGATTTCTCTCTTGCTGAGCTTTCTTCTCGTGACTCTTTCTCATCCTTGCAAACCTGATTATTTAAGCACAAAATGCGTTGTTTTTGTTGCAGCTGTTATATTTTTGGATATCCCTTATAAAGCTAACATTCCTAATTCGCGGAGATGTAAAACGAAGGCTAATCACGATATTAAGTTTCAGACCCTCCAAAAGAGACAGTTGTCACTGTGAAATACTTCATCTCTGGTATTTGCTGAAATGACATTTTCCTCCCAGATTTACCTGTTTCGACTCTGTCTCTGTTGGTGTAAGCTGTCGTGGTACACGTCGCCTGACAATTGGCGTGGTTTTCGGAGCGCGCCTATAACTGCTTTGTTTAGCTGTGGTCGAAGGAATGGCACTTTCCGTTTTCTTGTCTTGTTTACCTTGAGTTTCTCGCAGTTTAATACCTGTGATCAATTCGAGATTACCAATTAGCTCCCCTCAAGAAAAATTAGGTGCAAGCTTTTCATTTCTTTAGCAAATGTCATGAAGCTGTAACTGCAGAAATTTGCCTCCAGTTTGTGCAAACAAGCATCGACTAAGTGGCTTGAAATAAACAAGATGGCTGATGAAATTAGCAACCGAAAGAGGCTTGTTTAATTCTGGATCAAAATTTTAGAAACTTGAGGAAAATCTTTACTCAGTTGAAGTTAAAATATGTTAATTAATAAATAGATAAATAAATGAAATAGAAAACTGAAAAAAGAGTTAATAAACAAATAAATGAATAGAAATGTGATGACAAACAAGAAACAATTAATGGTAGTAATTTTTTTCTACATTAAATAGGAATTTAAAGTTAAAAACAAGTCTCACTCATCGACTTTTTTAAATCGAGGAACATTCAATTAGTGTCTTTTCAACCCTGTACAACGTGGTTTCCGCCAATTTATCTCAGTTGCTGCTTTTTCTTACCTACGGCGTATGTTATGATACAGACAATATGGTGATTCCAGCTGTTCGCCTGAAACCGTTTTATAAAATGTCTTAAATTTTCGATATATTACTTCAGTGAAAAAACTGACGCTGGCTAACTGCTGAGGAATAAACATACCTGAATCTCTTCCTAGAGGTTTTCCTCCTTGAATAGTTTTGAAATTCATGGGTAGATTATCTTTAGAACCAACTTTGGTCTTCCTCCCATTCACCACAATCGGAATCCGTGATGACCGCTTGCTTTGAACTTTGTTCCCTAAATCTTTTTGCAGACGCGCTATTTTATCTGCTTTGTCCTTTGACGAGGAACTTCTGACATTGTCGCTGCATAAGCGATTCATTCTGACTGGTATTCTTGATTTCAGTTGCGGAGAAGGAAGATGTTTTTGGTCGTCTTTTTTTTCGGGGCGAAGCCACGAAGCCATCGCGTCTCACCCGCGGTTTTCTTTTGTTTTGTTTTTGCAGTTTAGTTTTTATAGTATTTGATTTTTTTGGTTTGTGTTAAGTGTTTTTTTTCTCAAATAAGACTGTGAACAATCCAAATTTCCAAAGCTCCGAACCTCGATACTGACCGCACCGATAGCTGAAGCAAATGATTTTGTTTTGAGCGAAAATCCATGGAAACCATCTCTTACGAGTTTTTCGTCACATAGATCAAGGAAACCTTCGATAGCTCACGCACTGGAATCTGATATTCAGTCTTATAAATATCACAATTTTGTGTCCAAACTTCATGACTGTGAAATCTTTGAAATTTTTTGTCTTCGAATGGTAGCCAACACGCAAATATAGAGCAAAAGTAAGATATTTTCAAGCAAAGAGGAACTCAGCCGTTTACCACAACATCGACTGGCGTTGAAAGACGGCAAAGAACAGCGCCAGCGAAAATTGTTAATCTTTGTAATAACAAGAGAAAACTCCATCCCTTCTTGGATCAAAAAAGATTAATTTATGTTCGAAAAATAATCTCATCGTACCTTTGCAGAATTCTTATAGTTTTCTTTCTCAGCTACATATAGATCAATTGAAGTGAGTGGGAAAGTGCTCCCCCATTCATTCATCCAACAAAAATGGGTTTGACGCTTCCAATGAATAAACATGGGCTTCTTTCTTCCTGATCAGATCAAATTTAAAGCAAATAGACTCCACGCTAGGAATGGCAGTGTACTATACGGGACTAATGTACATCTGTGAGCTGAGTCCATCGATGTGAACACGCCGCTTAGTAGCACGCTTTTTTCGCGAAAGAATCCACTATTTCCGTTTGATCATCAGAAAAAAGCGTAAAGTTGCATCAAAAGTCCATATAACTTTGCGAGGAGGCCTGTATCCAAAAGGATATTGTAAAATTTCAAACTGATCGACCTTCGCAGATTTCTATCTTCCATCTCTGCCGGCCTTAATTTGTCTCAATCTAAATTGTCTTGACGGCGGCTGTTAACGGGTAGTGAAATGATCAGTAAAATCATTAACACTAACTTTCGGACTGACATAGTTCAACAGTTCAGAGTCTGTCACATCACGATTGCGAAAGTCGTCAAAAAGGCATTCGATCAATGAGGAGAGATTTTCCTTTACGTTTACTAACAAACCGCAATGCACTGGAATGCAACCTAAAGTTGACGAAATGTTGACTAAGTGTATAAGACAT